CTACATAGCATACAAAATTTGCATCCAAGACAAAACTAATTTTCTTGAAAATGTCAGTATTTATGGATGTATACTTACGTGGTAAAAATATAAAAACCTATCAGAAAATGAAACTTCATAATAGTAGTTTACCTAGGCAAAGGAAGGAGGAGAAAGTGATGGATGGGTGGGGCTTTAGCTATAATTATGTTTTATTTCAGAGAGAGAGAAAAAGATCTAAAGCAAATACGATAAAATGTTAAAACCCATTGCCGTTGAGTTGATTCCTACTCATAGCGACCCACAGGACAAGCAGAACCGCCTCATAGGGTTTCCAAAGCTGTACATCTTTACAGAAGCAGATGATCACATCTTTCTCCCGTGGACTGGCTGGTAGGTTCAAACCGTATCTACTACATCTAGGTGGTGGGTACATGGTGTCTATTATATCATATTCTGTAACTTCTATCTATGCTTGAAATTTTTACTAATGTAAAAAAATAAAAAGAATGTGAAGATTTGCACAGAAAGGCACTGGAAAGCTAAATAGGATTGTTTCTTGGCAAGTAAGTAAAAGAAACATGTAGAGCACTGGCGGTGTAGCAGCCCTAGTTCTAGCTAAGCGCAGAGAAATAATCCTGACATGGTGAAAGAGTGTCTACACCTAGGTAACACTCTGCTTATTGAAATAGGGTTTTAAGCATGAGACAAAATTCTAGTAACAAATGGAGGATTTGGGTAGATTCCTGGAGTTGGTTTCAATGTGATTTAACTTAGTGTCAAATTTTAGACAAGCAGGTTACATGTTGACATGCTCTGTAAGTGCAATTGGTAACTGAAGCCTCCAAACCATGGCCAGCCCCCAAAGCTTTCGGGTTGGCCCCTGACCCTTTGCTGCTGCCTCCATATGAATGAGCGCACACTGAATGACCTGCCTCACTCCCTAAGCCTCGTCCAGGGTTAGGGTGCCATTCGCGACAGCAGAGTGGAGGTGCTCTCACAGACGCCTGGCAGGAAAAGAGCGTGTGAGGTTGATGGGGTAGAGAGAAGAGTAAAAGGCTGTAGTTTAGGAAAAGGCAAAGCTCATCCATTTTATTTTTAAGCCTGAACACATATACTTAACAAGTATATAGTGTATGCAGGTCTTGGTGCAAACATTTAAACATTCAGCTACTAACTGAAAGGCTGGCAGTTTGAATCCACCCAGAGACATCTCAGAAGAAAGGCCTGGCAATCTACTTCTGAAAGATCACAGCCTTGGAAACCCTATGGAGCACAGGTCTACTCTCATACACTTGAGAGAGTAGATTCCATAAGCCGAAATCTACTCCTTCGCAACTGGTTTACTGGTAAAGCTTGGCAGCATTATTTCTTTTCAGTAAATGTAAATGCCCTCCCTCTGAAGTGCCTGCTGGGGTGGATTCTAGGCGAGTGCGGGGAACTCTCCACTCACCTCCTCCCGCTCGAAGGGAGGGTGGGGACCATTCCACAGATGCTCCATTGCTCACACAACAGCTGCTCTGCAGTCCACAGTGCAGACTGAACCCCATCTCCACTTTCACTTTCTCTTCTTTAACAGATCACCATCACAACGCTTACATTAACTCTCAGGTATTCAGTTATTACAGAATATGGAATACTGAATCCACCAGCCGCTCTTTGGAAACCTTATGGGACAGTTCTACTCTGTCCTGCAGGGTCGCTATGAGTCAGAACTGACCCGAGGGCACATAACAAAATAACAAAAAAGTTAAATAAAATTGTTTCCTTTAACTGTTTATGTTTAAATTTTATGCCATTTAAACTGCAGTGACAGTTCATCAGGGAATAATGACAGTTTCTCCAACCTCCAAGTTCCTCCTTTTCTTACAACTTTATTGAATGCTTAATAAATACATGCTGAATTAGGGAATAAAAATATTGGATGAAATAATGACACTGTAGCTAAAGTTTAATAATGGTCAATCTTCCACATTTATATCTTGACTCGTTTCATTATTAGTTTTTACTTGTCTATACTCCTACTAAGTATTAAGTTCCTTTGTACAGAAACTATGATTCAGCAAGAACATCTAATGTCCATTAAGTTGCTTCATTTCATTAAATTATTATGTGGATATGAGGCAGCAATATGTTGTCTGAGGAGGTAAACCACTACATGATGATATATGAAGACTGAGCATAAACATATATATAAAGTTTCTTTTTGTTATTAACCAATAAATTTACAACAAAGTTAATCCATATGTTTGTCAGTAGAAAGAATTACTACTTAGCCACAACCGACCTGGGCAACAGCAGTAATAAACATACCATAATTTATATTCTTCGTACAGAGCCAATCCAGAACAAAATCCCAGTTTTTCTCGCAATATTAATTCTTCAGTAGCTATAATCAATGTTAATGCCGACAACATATCTCTTTAAATTACTGTTGTCACAAATATACACACATAAATACATACAATATTTGTGTATATGACACACAGACACGTGTTAAAAAGATTTGACTCCCCAATATCTGAGTCCCTTTTGACCCTGGGCCTCTCTCTCCCTTATTTTCCAAAGTTATAATTCACTGTGCCTTATTTCACCATTGTACACCCATGCCCTGTCCCCTTAACTCCCTGCCCGTAACCACAAATGCATTCCATATGAGAGGTTCAATGAGCAATAGTCTGCTTTAGAATAAAGAGCCACTCGTCCTAAATCCTGGCAATCTGCTCCTGTAAAGGTTATAGTTTAGCAAACTTCATGGGGCAGTTCTACTCTGTCAATATAGGGTCGCTATGGGTAGGAATCGACTCGATGGCACACAACAAAAATCTATGATAAACGTAAGCTAATTCCTCTCTCTGATCCTCAGTTTTCTCATACGCAGCACATTTTTTACCTGTCAGCGTTGTTACGAGGATTCGAAGAGATTGGCACACTTTGGTGTTTAATAAAATGTTAATTCCCTTTTTCATTGCCACTCCTATCCCTCTTCCAGTTTCGAAAGGACTTCTGTGCTCTAAAGACATCATATTTACCCTGCCTAGTGAACTTTAATAGGAAAAACACCTTTCATTTCACAACCAATGCTAAGAGACTTAAAATGCAAATATGACTGGGAAACCCAACACTATACAGTACGGGTGAGTTTTACTTAAAAGGTAGAGAATGACATCACAGTATTTTGTCTTTTTTTATGCAAAAGAGATAAGAAATGAGAAAAGCGTGGGCTTAAGGTGGGGTATGAGGAAAAGAAGAAAACAAAAACTCAGGCTGGCTAAACCACAGACAAATTTCCTTCTCATCAAAATTCTGCTGAGGGCCTACCCTGTTGGTCTTCACCTAATCACAAAAGCAAACCAGGAAACAAAAAGACAGAGGCCAAAAGAATATTATGTCCAGAGGGACATGCACTCCTAATGAGAACTGCGTTGATAACCTTTTGCCCAAGAAAACTTTTATAAACGCCTCAACTGCAATGACTGACTGGCTTATCTGCAGAACTATTATCAGTGTGTGAAACATGACACCATATTATGAAAACAGAAAACTCAAACACTCAGAGAAAGATATTCTCCATTAAATCAACAAACAAAAAAAGAATCTTAGGATGAGTAAAAGGCGTGACCAAGCACACCACAAGCATGTCAGGACGTAGTAGGTTCCAGCAATGACCAACATGTGGTTGCACATCTGCTCATGTGTGGGTGGAGGCCAGGGGCACTTCTGGGCTCTCTATGGAGCACTGTGATGGTTAGTTTCACATGTCAACTTGGCTAGGTTATAGTACCCAGTTATTCAATCAAACACTAACCTAGGTGTTGCTGGGAAGATATTCTGTAGATGTGGTTAACATCTGCAATCAGCTGGCTTTAAGTAAAGGAGATTATCTCAATAATGTGAGCGGGCCTCATCCAACCAGTTGAAAGGCATTAAGAGCAAAACTGAAGTTTCCCTGAAGAAGAAGAAATGCCTGTGGAATATAGCCTCTGCTCCTGCTATAGTTTCCAGCTTGCTGATCTGCCCTACAGATTTTGTACTTGCCTAACCAGCCCTAGTGGTGCAATGGTTAAGCATTTGGCTGTTAACCAAAAGGTCAGCAGTTTGAATCCACCATCTACTCCTTGAAACCCTATGGGGGCAGTTTTACTCTGTCCTATAGGGTCGCTGAGTCAGAATCAACTCAACAGCAACAGGTTTGGTTTTTGGTAACCAGACCTTAAAGGAGCTCTGGTGGCACAATAAGCGCTCGGCTGCAAAACAAAAAGTTAGTGATTTGAATCCACCCAGCAGCTGCAGGAGAAAAGATTTGGCGATCTGCTCCTGTAAAGATTACAGACCTCACAATTGTGTAAGGCAACTCCTTGAAATAAATCAATCCACCTATCAATAGCTATCTATCTATCTATCCATCCATCTCTCTCTCCTACTGATTCTACTGGTTTTGTTTTTCTGGTGGAACCTTGACTGATACAAGTACTTAGATACGTTTTCTCATCTAATCTCGAAGAAACCCTATGCAGTATATACTATTACTATTTCTACATTTTACACATTAGGATTCTGAGGTTTAGAAGTGTTTTATAACCTACTCAAAGCCACACAGCTAATAACAGAATCTGAATCTGAATTCACGATCTTAAATAATACACTATATAATCCATATACTCAGTCATTTGTTTTTCACTAAATCTCTAAAGAGCTAAAATCAAGCCATTTCTTTAAAAGACTTAAGAAAGTTTCAGGAAGTATACAATTAAAAAAAAAAATTTATGATGATTGAGAAACAGTAAAAATTTAAGTTACCTAATGTTAAAATAATTTCTACTAATAGAAATATGAGCAGAGTTTTAAAGCCTGTCATCTCTATCACTAAGAGATAAATTTCTATTGAAGATTATAATAATCATGCAAACACTTCCGCTTAAGGGCAAAGGTAAATTGTATTCAATTAAATCAGTCCCTTGCTTTCACGCCTAGAAAATCAAATCTTCCAGAGTTCACATAGAAGAATACCATGAACTTACTTTGACTTGAGGGTAAGACTTCTTGTTCTTTTCACTAGATGCACCAGGAAGGCCACCATGGGATGGGCCTTCACATACATAACGGAAACGGAATCCTCTCTGCAAAGATGAACATAGAGCCAGCAAGTTTGAGAAATATTTATTAACAATTATAGTGACAAAGTTACAAAATTTTAATTCCTATACGTATTAGATGAGAGAAGAAAAATAAGAAAGGGGCCTCTGTAAATGAGTCATTTTCTCCATAATCTTATTATGAACACTGATAACTGACACCTGTGCAGCGAGGTGTCGCTAAAAGTCAGGTGCGTAACCAGGAGGTATCTGTCATGCTCTGCATATGTGGAGAGGAGACTGCTGAAGAGCTTAAGCCTTTGGACTTGACATGCTAAAGCTTATCTGAATCAGAGCTTCCTCATCTTAAATTGCTGCTGCCAAGCTGTTCAAAATTACGCTTCTTTGACACTTAAAGGAATTCCTCATCAGCTCTGACTACAGTTGACTGAGGTGGGAATACAGAAATGTATTGTTAAATGTATCACATCAGAGCTGGAGACCCACCCTACACTAGACTCTGCATGTGGTGAACCTTAATCAACAGTTCAGAAAATCAGATTCCTGACTTTATATGTAATCAAGCTCAAGCTGGATATGTTAACTGATACAAGTGAATCCAAAACCAGACATTTCCCTTAAATATTATTGATGACTCAGGAATTTTACAGGAAGGGCTAGCTAGAAGTCTTTAATATGTGAACTACTGTGGACTGACAAGCACCTAAGTGCAATGTTTTTTCATCCATAAAAAAGAAGCGCAGTGGTTAAGACCTCCGCTGCTAACCAAAATGTCAGCAGTTCGAATTCACCAGCCGCTTCTTATAAACTCTATAAGGCAGTTCTACTCTGTCCTATAGGGTCGTTATGAGTCAGAACTGACTCTACAGCAATGGGTTAGACTCTTTAAGGTCTACTCCAACTCCAGTTCTAACATTTTATGACTTATAAGACAAAATTATAATTATGCATATTTATATTCAAAGAATAGAACCAGGGCAATTCTTCCAATGAACCTCATCACCATATTAAGGGAACTTTCATTGTATTTCCTGAAAGACTCAACCTATAACTACTTTAAAATGATGTCAACCAATTTGTGGTAGTGTTATTAGTTTATAATTGTACAGTCACTTAACCAGGGTTTTTTTGTTTTTTTTTTTTAAATTCACCCTTTGGTAAAAAGAACAGTATGTTAACATACTTTAAGGAACATCCTCACCATTCATTTTTTTATTGTGGAACTGACTACTTCAACTAAACAGTGCTAGATCATTAGGTCATCAGGACCTCCCCACACCCAGTACTTGCTGGTGGGGGTTTCCTGCCTGATATACACTCATACAGCTACGGAGCCCCAGCAAACATGAACACTTTGTTAGCAACTCTGATCTCATGGACCAATGTAAAATTTCTGCTCTTCTTAGCATTTTACCAGGAAGCCCTTGCAGTGCAGTGGTTAAGTGCTCAGCTGCTAACCAAAAGGTCAGTGGTTTGAACCTACCAGCTGCTTCTCAGGAGAAAGATGTGGCAGTCTGCGTCTGTAAAGATTTACAGCCTTGGAAACCCTATAGAGCAGTTCTACTGTGTCCTACAGGTTCGCTATCAGTCGGCATGGACTTGACTGGGGTGGGTTTGGTTTTGGTTAGCATTATAGCTAGTAGGGTCTTACAGAACAGTATCTGATTGGTCCAAATGCCCTGAACTATTTTAAGTCTCTGGGAATCCTATAGAACTTTCCTATATTCTCTGAGGACCTGATGATTTCCAAAGAGGATCAATACTAAAGCATATTTCTGGAATGACTAAGGCCTGAAATAAATTTCCTAGCTGGGAAAGTTCCTCAAGTCACACATGGGTTTGCAGTGTATGGTCAACTCAAAAGCTGGCACCTAAAACAACTCTTGCATATGGTTCCTCAGGAGATTCCAAACCTGATTATCAGGGAAGCTTTGTGAAGTGATATTACTCATTTAGGGGCAATTTCTCAGCTTGGCCTCTAACAAATTTCAAATTAAAAATTCAGCTCTACACCTTTTGCAAGCAGTGGCTGTTGGTTGATTTTTATTAATTAAATGACATTTCTAAAAGTGTGAAAAAGCAACAGCATGTACAACATTTAGCCTCCAGAAATGGCTAACCATAAAGATACAGATTTACTTGACTGCTAAGCAATTTGAACACCATTTCAGTTTTTAAACAGTATTAGATAATTAACACTGAATAATAAGCAACAGAACTAGATTCTAAAGATTAGTAATATATGCTATGACTCATCTCTGTCAGAGCTGGGGAAAGTCTGTGGTAAAGAGGCCCAGAAGAAAAAAGCACATTTCTTTAACCTTTATTAAAAAAAAAAATAAAGCAATTCATTATCTTCAAACACAAAATTCATCTTGGGCAACTGGAAAAATATACTCATGTATATTTGTATATCTTATTGGTTCAATATCAAATAGACTACAAGCAGAGAGGCATGTGTTAATAGCTTGCTTAAAGTTTGAAATATACTTACTAGATATTTATGGTTGCATAAGAGTATCTTAAGTTCTGTGCAAAGAATATTTAACCTGAAGATGAAAATTCATAACTTTTTTTCCAGAAGATCAAATGTCTTAAAATACTTGGTCTGGATGTGATTCTGATTCTAGATTTCTGAGATTAAAGGTTTGCCAATCCGCAGCCATTCATCTCAATAACTCCATTTGCCTAAAATGAGTCAAGAACCTCAAAGGCAAGGCTACATCCATCCGGTCAGAAAGTCTGACTAAAGTATAGTCTTATTACTTTCACTAGAGTCAGACATCAAAATAACATTAATTTGGTAAACAAACATGCGTTGTTTTGCTCACATGAGCTTTTATGCATCCACATACAGTGAATTAAATTCTGAATTTATATTGCTCCTTCAGGTAAATCATAAATATTAATTTTTCCTTATGACTATTGAGCCCTTGATAAGAAAATACATTTTAAAATTCTTTTTACAGTGTTATATAACCCAAAACCCACTGCCATCAAGTAGATTCCGACTCATAGCGACCCTATTTCCAGTGTTATGCTTATGAAAATGGATATTTGGAAAACATATCTAGGCTGGTATGCAGACAAATAAATTTTAGTTGGTTTCTCAGTTTCATGGATTACCCAGATCTTATAGGCTAGGAAATTTTCTAGGATGCCAAACTACTAGAATTTTAGAGGATAAACTTCCAATGGGAGGGTCTTTGGGAGAACTGGTGACCTCCTGTGAGAAATCATTGCTATGGCTTTGGACATGGAAGTAAAACAAAGTCATACTGACAGTCTGTGGAGTCAGGGTGTGCCACCCCAAAATCAACTAGAATAATGCCCCAGAGTCTCATGTGGCTTTCCTGTCCCCATTAATTTCCTTTCATATAATTTTGACCTTATAAGGATACTCTGTTTGGTCATAGATAAGATTATTTATATCCTTTAAATACTGACCAAATCCAAACACACACATAATAATACCACAGTTCTAGTAACCATAATGTATGTTTTCATTTAAGTTCTTCAACTATTTTCATTTGTTAAAATGTTACACAATGCAAAAGTCTGACACTCACTCACCTGAGCTACCAGATAAAAACAAAACAGAAGCAACACTTAGGAAAGGTATTAGAGAACTGGTACGGATTTAATTGCATACACTCAAAATACGTGTTGGAATCCTAACCCCGATACCTGTGGACATAATCTTATTTGGGAATAGGTGTAGCTTTGTTATGTTAATGAGGCCTGGTGAGTGTAGGGTGTGTCTTAAACCTAATCACTTATGAGATATAAAAAGAGCAGATCAGACACAGTGAGCAAGCACAAATGGAGAAAAGACAGACACCACACAGAAATTGCCCAGGAAGCAAGGAACTTCAGGGCTAGAGAAGCTGAGACAAGGATTTCCCCCTAGAGTGGACAGAGAAAGAGCCTTCCCCTACAGCCAGCCAGTGCCTGGAACTTGGACTTCCTGTCTCCTGAACTGTGAGAAAATAAATTTTTGTTCTTTAAAACCATCATTTGTGGCACTTCTGTTACAGCAGCACTAGGAAACGAAGACAGTAATGCAACTGCAAGAGGCAGGCCTAGGTATCCTCAACCTCACATGAGTGTGGTAAACACATCTATTCAGCAATTTCCTGATTTTGTCCTCATTCTGTGGGGGACTATACCAATTACTTCCATCCCCTAACAACTGAAATGTCCTTTAGGCAGAAAGTAAAGATTCTCTTTCCTCTTCTTTCAAACCACTGGTCCCATCCAACTTCCAACAAATATTTATCCACAGAGTTGGAGCATGGTGAGGAGGCTACTTCAATCCCTAGCTATCCTCTACAGAATCTAGTGGTAAGAGTTAGAGCTTGATAAAATAAAATGCTCCTCTTCTGACTTCAGAGAGGTCAAGTCTAAAACTAACACCAGATGGAAGAGAACTCAACTGTCATTCTAGCACTTGAGCTACCTCCTACTGCTACTTTTAATACTTTAGGTTACAGGTTCCAAAGACTGAAGCTTTTTAGAAAAGGCCGAAGCTACTAAAAAGAAGGAAGAAGGCTAAATAGTACATGAGTGAGCACATGGACATGACTCATGGATGTGACTCAGTACATGTGAACTGCATGTATGTGTATTTCCATACAAATGAAAATTAATGGAGATAACCTATGCCTTTCCTAGGAGTGGCTGGTTAGCTAAACTGGTAGTGACAGCAGGATATCAAGGCTCTATAATTAACCAGAGATTTACGGAACTATGTACTGAGGCTGGAGACAGTTTGAAGAATGACACAGAGAAATGTAAGGAGGATGAATAAAGTTGTTATGTAATTTGGTAGGTTGCTGTGCTTCTAGATAAGCTACTTCCTTCATAAAATTCATTTACTATTATTCAGTGCTTGAGATTGTAATATTAGACTTATTGATCTAACATTTAAATAAAAAGTCCCACCTCTTTAATCTTCTTACCTGTTTAGGTTGTTCTAATATTTGAAGGTATGGGCCATCTGCTAAAAAAAAAAAAACAGAAACCAAAAGAAACTGTGAGCCTTCTCAAATTTGGTATAAAATATAAAGCAAGTAAAAAACTGAAATTATGTTTCTAAAGAGAGGTTTCAATTCAACTTCCCAGCTAAAATTCCCAATCCAACAAAACGCGTGATGGTAGGCAAGAATTCATATGTTCGAATTAACATCTTAAAAACTACACAAATACCAATTAAAAGCACCAACCACTTCTCGGGTACTATATTTTCTTTTGCCTTCACAGTATTAGACACTGATTTCCATTCCCAAATGCCTTTTCAAAGAGAATGTGATTAACGTGAAATCAGAAGGGACTGAACTAGCACCTGCATGTGTGCAGTATACAGACATTGATCTCAGCCTACCTGCCTCTTCTTACACCAAGTTTTCAGTTCCTTTCACTTACCTGAATCCATAACTACTACCTTCATTCCTTAATTGCCTAGTTTGTCCTCTCCCCTCCCCCACATCCATTTAAATTTGGTTCATCAGGCATGGTGGATTCGTCTTATTAATCCATACTTCAGATGTTTATATAAAATTTTTAAATACTGTGCTCTCATATAAACTCTGTCCTAAAACAACACAAGCATTTTTTTTATAAAATCTTGAAAATAACAATTTAATTGACATTAGACACACGTCAATTAATTATTGTTAAAATATAATGAAAAACTAGAAGCTTAATTTATACCTCAACTATATCTGACTCTGGAAATTCAAAGAAAATCAATCTCTGAGAGCGTAAATACAAATTTGTTGAATACGAGAAAGTCCCTAAACTCCCCAGCTAGTTTTTATGTCAACAGTATAATAACCCACAGTTCTGAAATAAATAAAGGCGTACGGTGTTTCTCACTTGTTTGAACGTAAATTAAGATGTTTGGTACTAAAAATTCTAGAATACTTCTGTGTCCATTTTAATCTCCACTGTCTCTCAGCTAGAGGTTTAAGACCTATTATTTTAAATAAATAGATTCATTAAGAAGAGACAAACCTTCAGGTTGAAATTATAAGTCAATTATAACTTAAAAGAGAATTTATTTTTAATCTTCTTGGTGTTATAATGAATCAAGATAAGGCCAGAGAACGGTAGGAAACAAATGTATAATTATTTCCTGTTATTCTTTATGAAATTCACAGGAAAGTCGGTTGAAAAATGGGGAGTAACTGGCCAACGTAGCATAATTTAGGTAGATTATCTTTTGTTGTCTGTAAGAAATTCATTCCTGGAAACTTTAAACTACTTTTAGAAAAGAAATTGCAATTTTAAAATACTAAAAAAAAAATGGCTAAACTTACCTTTTCAATACAGAAGTAAGGCCAAATTAGAAATAAAAAAAATTTCACACTAATATACAACCTTGTTTGGTAAAGTAGAGGGTCAGCGAAAAAGAGGAAGACCCTCAATGAGATGGACTGACACACGGGCTGCAATAATGGGCTCAAACATAGCAATGATTGTGAGGATGGCATAGGACCGGTCAGCATTTCGTTCTGTTGTACAAAGGGTCACTATGAGTCAGAACCGACTAGATGGCCCCTAACAACAACAATATACAACCTAGGGAGCCCTGGTGGCGCCGTAGTTAAGTGCTTGACTGCTAATTGAAAGGTCAGCAGTTTGAGCCTACCAGCTTCTCCAAGGGAGAAAAGATTTGACAATCTGCTCCTGGAAAGATTACAGCTTCATAAACCCTGTGGGGGCAGTTCTACTCTGTCACATTGGGTCACTATGAGTCAAATCAACTCGATGACACACAATAATCTACAGCCTATGTGACAATATAACCCATACACTCACGTAAACATTCTCTCTGTAATGCTACATGTGTATCAAGAGAACAAGCCTTTAAGAGAGCAATACTTGGAAAAGAGGTCACGGAAAATACAGAGGAGTTGGAGCATGTCTGCAGTAAACTTCAAGTGCCTCATTTCTTATCAACTCTCCTAAAAATATTTGCAGTTTGGCTATTATTTTTGCCGTAAGATTTAATTTCCTTTAAATATGTGAAATTCTAAGGTTTGGGAATTTTATTAGGGACACAGGACCATTTTTATCTTTCAGGGAACATACTCAAGAGCTAAAATTAACTAGAAAATTAGATTTGATATGCATATATTTGTTTTAAGGTCAATTTTCTTTTGGCCACATTTCTGTGTCATGAAAGTAACATCCCACTGTGCAGAAAAATTAAATTAAAGCATAATATTATAGACTTAACAATAATATCCTATCCTGTGTAGTTTTCAAAAAGTAGTAGAACTATTAACTATATTCCCAGAAATGCTGAAGGTAAAAAAAAAATTTAAAAAATCCATATGACATTACAAGTTAATATTGGTGTAGGTAACCTCTCTACCCCTCTAAAAATGTGAATAATATTTTCATACACATTGGATCACAAAGCTTGGGCTACTGCAACAGAAAGAACTGGCAGCAAGGGAAAATATGTTGATAAAAATAATCCGGTAATAACAACTGGCAAATAAGATTCTCAGGTATAATTAAAAATATTTTTCTAATATTGTGGCAAAATAATTTATACAACATGAAGCTCTGGCAACAGAGTACTTATTGAGATGGTTCTTTTGATAATCTACTTCTATGTCTATAAACTTGAAGATATAAAAACATTAAAAGGATACTATCTGGCATTCATAGGCATTAAATGGAAACATGTACATTTCCTGAGGACAGAACACAGTTCTTAAAATTTCAGTAAGACATTAATACTAAGAAAAATAATTTGGACCCCAGGGAAAAAAAGGTCACACCAAACAAAGGTTACCACGACGTTTACTTGTACACAGGAAGCGGACCTAGAGCTCAAACTGGACAGCACCTTAGAAGATCTCAGATATGACAGCCTAAATATATATATTTATATATATATATTATATATATATATATATAGTACGATAAATAGAGAAAGGCCTCGGCAATACAACTTGGGCCAGTGAAAATGAAAGTACAACAAATATATTTTTCCCTTCCATGAACTTCTAGAAATACTACAGATAAAAATGCAGAAAAGCATTCTGATCATATTAAAAAAAAGTGCCGAAGTAACAATAAAACCTGTTATCGTCGAATTCTGACTCGTAGAGACCCTATAGGACAGAGTAGAACTGCCCCATAGGGTTTCCAAGGAGGGACTGGTGGATTCAAACTACCAACCTTTTGGTTAGCAACCAAGCTCTTAACCACTACACCATCAGGGCAACTCTAAATGAGAACAATACAAACTGGATAAAGCCTCCCAAGGTGGATAAGCAAGTCCAAGGTAAAAAAAATAGCTTGATGTCTCATTTTAGTGATTACAAAACTCCCTGTTTTATATACTACCTCTATAATTCACTCACACTGCTTTCAAACATTGGTTAAATCCCACTGATGATGTGAGTGAGGAGCTAAATAGAACATAAAAAATACCATCACACTCAGCTTATATATAAGCCAATAAATAAAAGAGACTAAATCCGTTGATTTTTTTTATCATTCATATAAGATTAAACAATTTGTGAATGGGTATAATGAATATAGTAATGTTAGAAAAAAGCATTATTATCATGAGTTTTATCCAATTGGTCAGAACGTAAAGCTGAAGGGTTTTTTAAAAGGTGGTTTTTCTGAGAAGATTTTTATGGTTTTCGTACACTTTGTTTCCCTACTGCCCGGCATACAAGAGGCCCTCAGATAAACCTATTCAGAACAGAAGTGAAGAGTGAAGACTGTCTCCTGTGAGTCTGGGAGTTAAAGAGAACCCAAAGATAATAAGACTGGGAGAAAAGGTACATCCTTTCATTGCTGAAGAAAAGATCAAAGAGTTCAGCATCAGAGTAAAGAAATTTCTTCTAAACTGTCCTAGCAGATACCTGTCCTAGCAGATATTAGCAATGGGTAAGGGAGGAGAAATATTTTTGTGCAAATATTTTTCAAGAAAATATATTGAAAGATCACTTTTTAAGCCATAAATTACCATTTCCTTTCTAAGTACATCACTGAATTCTAAAACAGATTATTCGTAAATTCTGAATTTAAAAAAGGGAAAACAAAACAACAGGACAACAGGGATGAGGAGTTTTCTTACCTGTTGGCAGTGGCATCTCTGGTTGAAATAATTCTGGATTAAATATCGTATGATTCAATTGCTCCAAGTGAAACATCTGTAAAGGAGAAAATTCTTTCAATCATTATTTTTCCAACATTGCATTAAAAATATGAATTTGGAACACCTAAAACATAATTACAGGAACCAAAACTAAAGCCAAAAAAAAAAAGAGAAAAATTTCAAATCAAGATCTTAAAAATACTTTCATGAGACCTAGTGAGGTTCTCATGTGTACTGAACTTCACATAGGGTTGGGCTATGCTTATATGAGAAAGGGATTTGAGAATAACCTAGCTATAAAGTCCACAGAGGCAAGGACCTGGTTTATCTTACTCATTGATTTATCTTCTGGGCCAAGTGTATGCTATCACAGAGTAGATAATTAATATTTGTTGAATGAAAGATTTGAAGCTTGTACTCTTTTAAAAATATAATGCTGTTTCAACTGCAAAAGCCCAGAAAATAAGCATGTGAATATAATCCTGAAAGTCTATATATTTCTTTTATGGTGGTAAATACGCTTCTACCCTAGCCAAGAAACTTTAAGGCCTGGAAGAAAAAAACAGCAGTCCTGGAATAATTTACAGAAAGCTGAAAATATAATTTATAGTCCAAAGAACAGATGACTGAGCACTGAGTTCCCTCATTTTTTCCCACTTTTATTTTCCTAGCACAATACAAAATACTTGAGACTTAGTGGGTGTGGGAGGCTGAATAATGGCCCCACAAATGTCCACCACTAATCACCAGAAGCTGTGAATGCTATCTTATATGGCAAAAGGGACTTTGCAAATGTGATTAAGGATCTCGAGAAGGGGACATTATCCTGGATTATCCAGGGGGGCCTGATACAAGGACCAGGAATCCTTCTAAGAGCGAAGCAGGAGGAACGGAGTGAGTAGTAGAAGATGTGACAATGGAAGCAGGATGCTGGAGTGATGCAAGCCAAGGAATCAAAAGCCAAGGAATGAAGTGGTCTCCAGCTGAAAAAGGCAAGGAAACAGAAGCCTCCAGAAGGAATGCAACCAGCATCTTGAATTTAGACTTCTGACCTCCAGAACTGTAAGAGAATAAACCTGTGTTGCTTTAAGCCGCTAACGATGTGGTAATTTATAACAGCAGCAATGGTTAACTAATACAGTGGGCATGATATACATTTTGATGGAATTTGATTCTATCTTGATAACAGCCAGATAATTACTAATAATTACTTATCTCAAGAACGAATTTTTCTTTCCACTTGGTTCATTTAAGACTTTGAATTCATATTTATGAACTTGCTATTTGCTTGAGTCTAAAGAAGTCATCTGTTTGAAATATCTGTGGACAGCACAGAAACAAACAGTACATCACTCTTTTATAATGTGCTAGTTAGTAAGTGTGCTGGAATGAGTATTAAAACAGCAACAACAAAAAAGACCAGTAGTACAATTTGCCTCCTTGTCTTTATTAATAAATTATTGATGGTCTTGGGCACCTAAGAACCTACTGTGCATGGTTAAATCAAGAGTAAAAAAAAAAAGTGTTTAAATTAATTAAGAATACTTCAACTGAACTACTGGACTTGAAGGCTAAAAACCATAGTCTCAGGGGACATCTAGGTCAATTGACAAAATACAATTCATAAAGATAACGTTCTATGTCCCATCCTGGTGAGTAGTGTCTGGGATCTTAAAAGCTTGCTAGCAGCCATCTAAGAAGCAGCTATTGGTCTCTTTGCACCTGTAGCAAAGGAGAACGAAGAAAACCAAAGACTCAAGGAAGCAATCAGTCCAAAGGACTAATGGCCCACATGAACTACAGCCTCCTCTAACCTGAGACCAGAAGAACTAGATGGTGCCCAGCTACCACTACCAACCACTCTGACTGGGATCACAAACGAAGGTCCTCGTTAGAATGAGTAAGAAAATGTAGAACAAAAAACAGAACAAAAAAACAGACTTACTGGCCTGAAAGAGACTGGAGGAACTCTTGAGACTGTTGCCCTAAGACAACCTTCTAACTTGAACCTGAAGACACTCATGAAGGCCACCTTTCAGCCAAATAATAGACAGAGCTATAAAATAAACAGTAACACCCATGAAGAATATGCTCAGTAGAACAATTAACTATATAAGACCAAAAGGGCAACATTTGCCCAAAACCAAAGATGGGAAGGCAAGGAGGTACAGGGAAACCTAACTAATGGAAAAGGGGAACAAGGAAAGAAATGCCGAGAGTGCTGACACATTGCGGGGATTGCAACCAGTGTCACAGAACAATTAGTGTAAGAATCATTGATTGGAAAACTAATTTGCTATGTAAATTTTCACCTAAAGCACAATAAAACATTAAAAAAAAATTTCAGATCCAATTTTGAGGGGTATAAATTTTCAACTGAGGAACAGTAAGTTTGCTCCACTTTAATGCTTAAGAGTAAAGCTCATTGATGCTATTCACTGTTTGCTGAAAAGGTAATACCAGGAATTAAAAAAAAAAAAAAGTTACTGTAAAAAGGGCTCCACGTTATAGAGAATATCCATCAGTCTCAGGGCAGAAGAGAAGACCTAGCAGGAAAAAACTCCTTCCCTGTGGTCCTGCAGGAGGTTAAAACGACTAGTTAGAAGGCAAAAGCACTTATCTTAAGAGGAGGGGAAGAGAGAGATACACATTCTGCCTCAGACAAAGAAGAGAGAAACTGTGCTGTGCTGCAGCTTGCATTGATCATTGTGTCAGGGCTGGAGAGCAAATTCCAGAATTCACTAAAACGCTGAGGAGATCTCACTGGGGAGAACGTGCAAACTTCAGGAAAAATAAACCATGAAGCTCAAGGCAAGGGGAAAAAAAAAGAAAAAACACTTCAAGGGCCTCTCCTCTCAAGAATGGAAATATCAGAGCATGCCCCACCCCTGTTGCTGATGATCACAAAAATGCCCACATAAGAAAAAACTTTCGAAATGAGTGTTTTCCGCATGTTTTACTCTTGTGTGGCATAAAGGGCTATCTCTTGTTGATAAGATTTCCTGTGTACAGACAGGAAAGCATGGTTTAAAACCAAGCAGAAACAACCCTCATGCTGGTTTGTTTGCCTTTAATCGTTAGAGATAGTATATTAAAAGTGAAAGGTAAAACAAAGGTTTTTGATAATACGAATAGCCAAACGTCTTTCACACTGTAATCAAAGAAAATGTTCCTAGATTTATCCTATATCACCATTTTTACAATAAAATTAGAAAGAAGCATCTTAATGTCAAAGGCAATGCATATGCATTCTTTCTAAATCAATTAGAACATAACCAAGAGTAATGAATGCTATATAAGTTTATTTTGTTTATAGAAACCATACCAGACCCTTTAGAAAGTATTTCACTTTTGGTTTTATTTTTTGACTGATTCTTTGCATGTGTAAAATTGGGAAATTTATTTTTTCAGGTGGTTTGCTGCTAAAACTTAAATGTGAAATGACTATGAATATCAGACCAAGGTGTCTTGGTACCTAATGTTCCCTTTCCCTAGAATGCCTCCTTTCGTCCTTGTCTAGCCTAGCAAACTATATCTTCCAAAACTCAGCTTAAACAGACCTCCGGTGGAAAGTCCTCCACAAGCCTGCTCGTCCCCCGGCAGGACCACATGATCCCTCTCAACATTTCTGTTCCACTCCATGCAGACCCCTGCATTTATCACTATACGGAAATTACTTACATCTCTGTCCCTCCTGTTAGAATGACAGCTTCCTGAAAGTAGGATCTATGTATCACTTACTTTTGTCCTCCCACTTAGCCAGTGTTCTGGCACAGTAATGCCTCAATAAATACCTGGTGAATGAATAAACCTCAGTGTTTTAAATACTCTTAAAATCATTACGTTAACATTTTAGTATTGCCACTGTAACTACCCTGTTGCTGTTAGTTGCCATCAAGTTGGTTCCGACTCATGGCAACCCTATGTGTACAGAGGAGAACGGCTCCATAGGGTTTTTAAGGCTGTGACCTTTTGGAAACAGATAGCCAGACCTGTCTTCTGAAGTGCCTCTGGGTGGGTTTGAACTCAAACCTTTTGGCTAGTATTCGAGTACTTAACCATTTGCACAACCCAGGGACTCTTATAATTACCCTAGAGTCTGCAAATTGCTTCTAAATGGCTCATAAAATAACATATGTATGTATATGTATGTGTGTGTGTGTATTAGTATTTATATTTATAAAGCAGTTGCCGTCTAGTCAACTCTGACTCATGGCAACCCCATGTGTGTCAGAGTAGAACTGCACTCCATAGGGTTTTCAAGGCTGTGATTTTTTGGAAGCAGATCACCAGGCCTTTCCTCTGAAGTGCCTCTGGATGGGTGTGAACCACCAATCTTCCAGTTAGTAGCCTAGTGCTTAACTGTCTGTGCCACCCAGGGACTCCTTTTACATTTATATATGTATATAGACAAATGGAGAAAGAGGCAGAAGCAAAATGTTAATAACCAGTAAATTTATGTGAAGATTTGTTAAACTATTCAACATTTCTGTAGGCTTGGAATTTTTCAAAATAAAACGCTACGAGAAAAAATAAAAAGAACGCTAGTATCCCTTCACACTGCTGGTACATAATAATGAACAGGCTTTTGCTCCCAAAGAGTCCCTAATTGAAAGGTTGGAGGCTCGAGTCCACCCAGAGATGCCTTGGCAGAAAGGTCTGGTGATTTACTTCTCAAAAATCAGCCACTGAAAACCCTATGGAGCACAGTTCTACTCTGACACATATGGGCTCACCGTGAGTCAGAAATGACTCGATGGTAACTTTTTTTTAATGCTCCCAAAGCACTTTCATTATCCACCAAGTCTTTTCAACATCCCTGTGAGCAGGAGTTCCCAGGTGACATATATGGTTAAGCACTCAGTTACCAACCCAAAATTGGAGGTTTGAATCCACCCAGAGGTGCCTCAGAAGAAAGACCTGGCAATCTACTCTTGAAAGGTCACAGCTATTGAAAACCCTATGTGCAGTTCTACTCTGAAACACATGAGGTTGTCAGGAGTTGGAATTGACTAGATGGCAACTGGTTCTGTGGGTGGGAGGGATTAGCATTCCTAGTTTGCAAATGAGAAAAAGGGAGGATGGGGCCAGGGAGCTAGGTCACCCTTCTTGAAGAGCTGGTAAGTAGCAGTCAGCAATTATATAAAATCTTCAGATTCTAATTCTAAATCCAAAGGTTTTCTCACTACATCAGTCTGTCTCCCCATTAGATGAACTTTAAGTATTTTAAGGGGTTATTGTTTGGTCAGCAGCATATATAAAGTTTGTGCAACAATCTGTGTGATGGCAGGATTTCATTTAAGTTACTCATTTTATATGACATGTCCTCTCTGACCTCACATGGAAGGTCAGGAAACTGAACAAAATTTTAAATAAATTTTTACTAATTTCAGAGTTTTCCTGATAGTGAATTACTAATGTTGTCCCTGTATATATTTAAATATGAATACCAAAAAACCCAAACCCACTGCTGCTGAGTCGATTCCGACTCATAGTGACCCTATAGGACGGAGTAAACTTCCCCATAGGGTTTCCAAGGCTATAAGTCTTTACGGAAGCAGACTGCCACATCTTTCTTCCGCAGAGCAGCTGGTGGGTATGAACCACTGACTTTTCTGGCCAGCAGCCAAGTGCTTTAACCACTCCACCACCAAGGCTCCTCAAATATAAATAGTCACATAAAATTATAAATGAGGTTATATTATATAACTTACTTGTTCATGCCCTACCAAATATGGATCGTCTTCTGCCATTCTGGAGCTGTATATTAAAACAAAACAAAACTGTAAGACTGGAATTAACCTTAAAAATTCTATCACCATTCCCATTTTCATGCAGGAGTAAACTGTATCATTTTTAAAAGACTTCAAGACGTGGACATGTTGAAGCTCCTCTTTGGTATCTAGCCCTAACAGCAGGGAGACTGCACAATCAAAAAATTACCACTTACATATAATCCAGAACTCTCATGTCTAACTCACAAAACTATCTTGGAGTTTGGTACAACTGGTCTCCGTCTTCTCGATAAAAATCATGCATACTTGCATTTTTGGAAGCCATTTCTTCTTATCGCTCTCTAGACTTCAAGGATATACAATCTTAGTTCTTCATGTTATTTTCAATTCCTGATAAACTTTGGGACAGTCCTAGAACTGTCTCCAAGTTTTCTACAAGCCGTTCAAGTTGAGAAGCTCAGGAGGGATCACTCTGCTGTAAGAATGGCCAGACTAGCACTTTGCGTAGAGCAAGGAGAGGACTGCTCTAGTCTTCTAGGGCATTCCACTGAGGCGGGCCATTTCCTGCCACTTTCAAAGCTGTATAGAAAACCTGTAATACTAAAAATGCAATTAAAAAAAAGAGCCCTTATTATCAAGGGTATAGTCCCAGATTTAATTAACCCCAGCCATATATTTATTCCTTATAGGCCCTAGCAATATTCAATTACCCAGAGACCCTGACAGAGGTGAAATATCACAAGGTTAGATAAAGACAGTATCTAATCACATATTTTAGATTTACTTGCTTATGAAATAACTTCTCATTATTTTAAATATAGGTTAATTTTACTTTAAATATATTTACATCAAATTTTGGGTATATGACATCAAAATTAGAAGATTAAAAAAATGCTGAAAGCAATATTAATTCCTGAGACTAATCTCCCCCCCCCACCCCCCTTTTCATAAAGTCTATAAATCACTCTTAGGCACTTGGGGCTGTTGCTGAGAATGATAGCTGTCCACCAAAATCTGTTCTCCCTTTGTAATAGATCTGTAGCTGAAACACGACTGCTCAGGTGGGCTATTCTACACTCTTCCTTGGATTACAGATGACCATTTCAACTACATTCTTGCTGGGATGTCAGAACTGTTGTGTGTCACATCCACCTCTGGGCTTAAAGCCCTTGACACTCTTCCTCCATGTTTTGTTCTTTCTCTCTGTTTCTGGTTAAAACTCAGACATGGAGAAGACCCGGCTTCTACCACATAGGTGATGATGAATGGCCTAGGGGATGGCAGATCAATAAATGGAAGGACTCTAGATCCCTGAATGACACCATGGGGCACAGCTGCCCTGACCACCTAAACAGCTCACCCTGGTGAGAAAGAAATACTTTTCTATGCTCTTTAACCCAATGGATTGTTAGGTCTCTTTGTTAAAACAGTTTAGCCCTCCCACTAATGAGAATATCACCTACCACTCCAATCAACACAAAAGCCTCCAAAGAGGAACGGGATTTCAATGAAATTCCTTCTTGCTAGAGCCTGTGTGACTTGTGAAGAGGGAGAAAGCCTGGTGAGGACTCCTAGTGGGCCACAGAGTGGTGTCCAACTTTAAGAAAAAGGAAAAGGAAAGCTCTGATTCCTACAGAACAATAAGTTCATGCTGATTTGCAGGAAAATGTTTGCTAAAATCTGGGGACACTGGTGGTTCAGTGGTAGAATTCTTGCTTCCACGTGGGAGACCTGGGTTCAATTCCCAGGGCCAATGCACCTATCTATCAGTGGAGGCTTGTGTGTTATTACGATGTTGAACAGATTTCAGGGGAGCTTCCAGACTAAGATGGACTAGGAAGAAAGGACTGGAGATCTACTTCCAAAAATCAACCAGTGAAAACCCTACAGATCACAACAGTCCAATCCATACCCATCTGTAAGCAGGGGGCAGGAATGTGAAGCACTTTGTTCTGTGGTGGATAGGGTCGCCATGAGTCAAGGGCCAACTTGACAGCAGCTAACAACAACGATTTGTCTAAAACAAGAAATTGCTGATTGAAGATATACAAACAGCTGAACCTTCCTGCTAGAACAAATCTCAATTAAGACAAGCAGCTAAAAGAGTGAAAACCTGATATGGCAAAGAGGCTTCAATCTATTAAACATTCAGAAGAGTACTGCCACTTGTTGGCTATGTGATCTTGGATATACAACTAAACTCACAGGGTTTCTGTTTTCTCACCTGTAAAATGAGATATTTTGATGAGGATGACCTTTGAAAAAGGCAGAAATTTGTTGTACTTGGAATGTGTCAGTAAGCTAATAAATGGCTTATTCAAACAAAAAATCCCCTAAGTCATATCATTGTTTTTGGAAACTTGAACTTTTATATATACTTAAGTGTATATCTACATTAAAGAATCATTAGCACAATTTTCAGTTATATGAAGAATACTAGTAAAAAAAAAGAATGTTACATTGACATACAGTGCTAACATGAGTTATAACATTCCATGTGAAAAATCCCTATCCTTAGAACACCACAAGAGCCCAAACTTACAAGAAAAATACTGTCATGGATTGAGTTGTGAACCCCAAAAATATCTGTCAACTTGGCTGGGTCATGATTCACAGTACTGTATGATTGTGTAATCTGATACTATTTTCTCATGTGTTGTAAACTCTATCACTATGATGAGGTTATATGTGATCTCCTTATGTGTTGTAAATTCTATCACTGTGATGAGGTTATACCGATGAGGTTTACAAGATTAGATAGTGTCTTAAGCCAATCTCTTTAGAGATATAAAAGAGAGAAGCAAGCAGAGACACATGAGAACCTCACACCACCAAGAAAGCAGTGCCAGGAGCAGGGCACGTCCTTTGGACCTGAGGTTTCTGTGCTGAGATGCTCCCAGACCAAGGAAAGACGGATGCATCATAAGGACCTTCCTCCAGAGCCGACGGAGAGAGAAAGCCTTCCCCTGGGGCCGACGCCCTGAATTTGGACTTGTAGTCTACTGGACTGTAAGAGAATAAACTTCTCTTTGTTAAAGCCATCCACCTGTGGTATTTGTGTTAGAGCAGCACTAGATGATTAGGACAAATACTAACATCTTTTTATTTGTCTTAGGCTTTCCATTAATCTGGGCTGAGCACCTAAATCTTCTCAAATAGTCTTGTCTGTGGTCTTCAAAAGAAAAGGTGAGATTGCTAAGGAGAACACTGACAGAACCCGTTCAGGAGCTCTATTACATTGATAATATATCTATTTTAAACCTGTGGATGGTTTTCCAGACCTCTGAAAGTTTAGATTTAATATAAATAAAGCAGCCCTCACCCTGATTAAAAAAAACTCAACTAAATCTGCTTTATTAGAATTGCTCTGCCTACCATCAATGACCACCCTGACAAGGAACAAAACAGACAGTCCCTAAAAGAGCAGGAGAAAAGTGTGGAACAAAACTCAAATTCATGTAAAAAGACCAGACTTAATGGTCTGACTGAGGCTGCAGGAACTCCTAAAGCCATGGCCCCTGGACGCTCTGTTAACCCAAAACTAAAACCATTCCCGAAGCCCACTCTTCAGACAAAGATTAGACTGGACTATAAAACAGAATAATACTCATGAAGCGTGTGCTTCTTAGTTCAAGCAAATACACGAGACCAAATGGGCAGCTCCTGTCCAGATGCAGGATGAGAAAGCAGGAAGGGACAGGAATTGGTTGGATGGACACAAGAAACCCAGCGTGGAGAGTAGAGTGTGTAGTCACATTATAGGCATTGCAACTAATGTCACATAACAATATGTGTATACGTTTTTGTATGTGAAATTAACTTGAGCTGTAAACTTTCACCTAAAGCACAATAAAAAAAAAAGAATGGCTGCAGTGTTATGCTCGCTATCGTAATTAAAACCTTAGATTGCTAAATGGCAGGCACTGGACAAAGCATCAAGTTAAACAAAGTCTTTCCTCCAGCACCCACCCATGATTTATGTACTAATGTGTTCCAGAAGATCATAGTTTGAAAGGCCCAACAAGCATCAACAGCAGCCTCAGGAGCACCTGGGTGATAGTTAAAATCTGAACTTCACAGTTTTAGCAAGCCAGTTAAATTTATGGTAAAGGGCTGAGGTCGCAGAAACCCTAAGGTGATGTCAATGTTAATTTATCATTTAAAAATAAAATGTCAAAGTAAACCTAGAATCATTTGGAAAAGATGAATCACTGAGCAATATTTGCATTAATTGTAAAGCCGGTTTTAATTCTAAAAATTTAAATTATCAACTAAGCCTTTGGAACTGAAGCATTAGAAAAGACCAGGGAAAACCCCTTCTACACCCCTTCTCCTTCTGTCCTTCCCCTCCCTTTCCCTTTGCACAGTTCTGTGCTTTTGAGGAAGGATCTCGAAACAGAAAAGGAGTTACTCAGCTGACAGGGGAGAAGATGAGTTTAAGCTCTCTCTCTCTCCCCCAGCTGTGAGGTTTTCAGGAAGATTTTCACACCACAGAGGAGAAACAGAAAATGTAGCTAACAAAAACAAAACAAAACAAAAACCAGTTGCCATCGAGTCACTTCTGACTCACGGCCACCCCATGCGTGTCAGAGCAGAACTGTGCTCCATTGGGTTTTCAGTGGCTGATTTTGTAGAAGTAGATCACCAGGCCTTTCTTCTGAGGTGCCTCTGGGTGTGTCTGAGCTGCCAACCTTTTGGTTAGTAGTTGAACACTTAACCATTTGTGCCACACAGGGACCTTGCAGTTAGCCCTTATGGTTGTTAATTGCCACGGAGTTGATTCTGACTCATGGCGACCCCATGTGTGCAGAGTAAACTGTGCTCAATAGGGTTTTCAAGGCTGTGACCCTGCGGAAGCAGATCACCAGGCCTGTCTTCTGAAGCGCCTATGGATGGGTTCAAACAGTTAACCCTTAGGTTAGCAGTCAAGCGCTTAACCATTTCCACCACCAAGGGAGCTCTGTAGTTAGCTAGTAATGAATGAAATATTTTCCCCAGTGAATTGTTTGTATTTTTTCACAAGAAAAGCTTGATGTTAAAACTGAAATGCCTAAAGGTTTATTACCCGCACATGTGTGATAATACCATCATTAGCACCATAGTCTCGCACTGGGCCTTCTCAGTGAAGGCAGCAAGACTGAGTGAATTAACTTTAAAGCCACAGGACTGGACCATTAAAGGATGGAGGTGGGACATTCCTCTACATGTAACTGGAGAATCGTTGTAAGATCAGAGATACTCAATTTTTTTTGATCATTACCCCATTGTAAGAAACTCATTTTACACAACAAACCCAGAACACACGACTGTGTGCATACACAACCAAAATACAAGCTTCACTCAGATATAGTCTTTCTATTCTGTTAGATTTCATTTTTAAAAAATGTTTGTAAAGCCCATTTAAATGATCATGATCCACTAATGGATCATAATGTACAATCTGATAAACAGAGTTTTAGGTGCCATCCAAAAGGTGCAGGTGGGAGTCAGAGAGATAAAGTGTTTCTATTTTCAAGATTATATTCAGCTATAACAGATGCTACTTAAGTATAATTTTAATACCTCATCTTGGATAGCAATGAGAACGAAACTACGAGAACAAGGGTGAATTTTTGCCATTTCTCTTTTGGATAATAAATTGAGAAAGGATACATCAGAACCTCTTCCCATAGAGGAATTTTTCAGAGGAAATGTGATATAAGGTATATGCACATGTGTGTGGCTATGATGTGAACCATTCAATGAGAGTATCCTTTGATTCTGCCACTCTACTTCTAGGAATCTGCCCTGAAGAAGTATTTGAATAAGTGTGCAAAAACTAAGTACAAGGATACTCATTTTGGCAAAAACACTGGAAACAAGCCAAATGACCCTTGACAGCAGATTGTTTAATTATAATTATATTATGTTCCTACAGTTAAATATCATGCAACTATTAAAAATAATAATTCAGATACATATACTAATAGGGCAAGTTTTATTCCCTAAGTTATACATTTTCATAAAGTTTTAATTTTCCAACTCAATTATATAATTGGAAATACATATTTCTAAAGAAAAAAGAGGAAAATTAAACCCTCTTCTGAACTTAGAGTTTAACTCTAACATCTGTAACAATGAATGACATACAAAGAATAAAAATATGATGTACGACTGAGCCAAAAATTTTTAAGCAGTAGTGGAATTTTCCTTCTAACAAATTAATAGAAATTATTTACTTTAAAGAGGCAGTTTATTTACATCTTTCTGATGATATAACGCCTTAGTGATGATAAAAGAAAAATTAAAAGTTCCTTTAGTTATTTTCCTCAGAGTAGCTGATTACTGAAACTTTTGGAAACTGAATTAATATTTGCGTCCAACCATATTTAGATTTTTATAGACTTGTTGTCTATATGTTTCCACTCCTTCCATTTTCAACTTCCTATTGTTTCATTCACGGCTCATCTGTCAGTTTGTTGTACTTTGGGGGCTTGGGTGTTGCTGTGATGCTGTAAGGTACGCCACCAGTATTTCAAACCAGCAGGGTCACCCGTGGTCGACAGGTTTCAGTGGAATTTCCAGACTCAGTCTGGAAAGAAGGGCCTGGCCATCTACTTCTGAAAAAACTGGCCAGTGAAAACCTTATGGATACTAGCGGAACATTATCTGATACAGTGCCAGAATATGAGCCCCTCAGGTTGGAAGGCACTCAAAACATGACTGGGGAAGAGCTACCTCCTCAAAGTAAAGTCAACTTTAACAATGTGGACAGAGTTAAGCTTTCGGGACCTTCATTTGCTGAGGTGGCGTGATTCAAAATGAGAAGAGTGGTAACATGGAATACGCAAAGTATGAATCTAGGAAAACTGGAAGTTGTCAAAAATGAAAATAAATGCTTGAAGATAGATATTCTAGGCATTAGTGAGCTGAAATGGTCTGGTATTGGCCATTTTGAATCAATCATACTGTCTACTATGCTGGGAATGACAAATTGAGAGGAATGGCATCACATTCACTGTCAAAAACAACCTTTCAAGACATCTTGAAACACAATGCTGTCAGTGATGGGCTAATATACATTTGCCTATAAGGAAGACCAGTTAATATGATTATTGTTCAAATTTATGCACCAACCACTAAGGCCAAAGATTAAGAAACTGAAGATTTTTACCAACTTCTGCAATGTGAAATTGATCAGATATACAATCAAGACACATTGATAATTACTGGTGATTGGAATGAGAAACTTGGAAACGAAGAAGGATCGGGAGGTGGAAAATATGGCCTCAGTGACAGAAAAGACACCGAAGATCACGATAGAATTTTCAAGATCAATGACCTATTCATTGGAAACACCTTTTTTCAACAACATAAATGGTGACTATATACATGGACCTCCCCAGATGTAATACACAGAAATCAAATTGACAACATCTGTCGAAAGAGATGATGGAGAAGCTCAATATCATCAGTCAGGACAAGGCCAGGGCCGACTGCGGAACAGACCATCAACTGCTTGTATTCAAGTTCAAGCTGAAGCTGAAGAAAATTAAAACAAGTCCACTAAAGCCAAAGTACAACCTTGAGTATATCCCACCTGAATTTAGAAACCATCTCAAGAACAGACTGGACACACTGAACACTAATGACCGAAGATGACACCAAGGGCA